TCATCAAATTATCCTGACAGGTTTTTGTTTTGAGGTACTGGGGACTGAACCCAGCACCTTTGCGCTGACTTACGCTCCAGTCCATTGATTGATTGATTGATTGATTGATTTTTTGGTACTGGGAATTGGTAGAGTCCTTTTTTATCTTGAGCTGGTCTTGCTAAATTGCCCAGGCTGGGCTTGGATTTGTAGTCCGCCTGCCTCAGGCTCCTGGAGTGTGGGATTGCAGGCATGCACCATTCCCCCACCTTTTCTGACAGTTTTCTATACTCAGCCAACATATGGAAGGTGGGATAAACAAACATGCTGCCTACAGTTAACTACAAACCATTTCTACTTTTTTTTAATTTGAGGACCACCAAGTTGCAAAGCCCACATGATAAATATAATATTTACTTCTAAGAAGTGCAGTGTGTGGGGCTGAGGATGTGGCTCAGTGGTAGAGTTCTTTTTTTTTTTTTTATTAGTGGTAGAGTTCTTGCCTTTCATGTACAAGGTCCTGGGCTCAGTCCCCAGCACCACACACACTCAAGTGCAGTGCGTTATATTTCCTGTAGCTCATTTACTAAATAAAAAGGTTGTTGGAGACAGGTTCTAACTATGTTGCTGTGGCTGACTTCACACTTGGGATTCTCTTCCTTCCACCCCTCCAGGAGCTGGGGTTACATGTGTGTGCCGCGGAGCCCAGCAAAACATACTTGTGATATTAACACTTAGACCGAAGCTCATTATTTAATGCAAACTGATTTTCTAGCCGCTTTGTTCTCTTTCACAGTAGTCTATTCTCGTCTGTAGAGTGTAGAGTATGTTTCTTTTCCTATCTTTAATACATTTAAAGCTTCACTATCTTAAAAATGATTTTTTTTCTAGATAGGTATTAAAAAGTTCTGTATCTTTCTGTAGATTAGGGTAGTTTGCAATTATATTTTGTAATTTGTTCCCAAAGGTATTTGTCTTGGTTACTTTTCTCTCGTTGCTGAGACAAAATACCTGACACCCAAAATTAAGAAACGAAAGGTTTGTTTAGCTTATAGTTCATGGAGGTTTCAGTCGGTACTCAGCTGGCTCCAAGGAAGAGTGGCACATGGCAGAGGGCAACAGTTCATGGCAATGGAAAACAGGAAAAGCAGCAAGAGCAAAAGGGAGGAGCAGGGGCAAGCAGCCTCTTTCCCTCCCTTACACTGTGTGCAAACTACCCACCCCAGGACAGGTGTAGCAGTTACACCCATAATCCCAGCATTGGACCATGAATCAATCATAAACTCTAGAAGCCCATCCCATGACTGCATGAGCTTGGGGGGACATCTAGACACAAACCATAAGAGCATTGTTACCATACGTACCAAGTTTGTGGTCTCACAACATCGAGGAATGTAGTTGTCAACCAAAAGAGGAAGTTAAGAGAGTTTTATTGGAAATAAGAAGAATAGCTCCTGGATTTCCAGGAGGGACCCTGAGTAGGTGGCCGCTGAAGCTGTGTGTCAAAGGTATTTGATACAGCAAGGTGGGTAGCTATGGGTCAAACTACAGCTAACCTCTAGGATTACAATGCAGTTGCTTAGCTAGTATTCACCCAGTGGGGAAGAGAGGGACATGGCAAAGGTATATGGTGAGCATCATTAACTTTAGCTGACCTGTAGTTTCTAACAAAGACAATAAAGGCACTGCTGGAAAGGGATGGGGTGTGGGTCTGCACGTTCTGGTCACCCACCCGTGTGTCTGGTGCCCTACCTACTGGACCCGGTGGTGCTAGCTACACGGTAACCTCAAGTTGCTGCTGGTCTCTGGCAAGGCATGCAGGCTTGGCCAGTGCCTCCATCCCGAGGCCTGGCTGTTGTTTTGATGTCTTGTCTTCTGTGCTCTCATGAGGGCCCGGGCCTTCTCTGCCTGCCTATTAATTTCCATCTTAACTTAGCTGTCTACAGTAGTATGAAATTTCTAATAAAAAGACGACAGAAACCAATGAATTAAAAATCATTAAGGGTGGCAATTAGCTTTTATTTTTTCTTTTTTCGTTTTTTTTGAGACAAGGACTCACTGTGCAGCTCAGGCTGGGCTCAACTCCTGGATACCCTCCTGCCTCAGCCTCCTGAGTGCTGGAATCACAGGAGTGTGCCACCAGTATTAGCAGGCTTTGTGCTTTTAAGTAGAAGCTGCCTGTACTTTCACATCATTTTGCAGAACTAAAATATCTATGTTTTTCTTCCATTTTTTTCTGTTTACTCAAGAATCTACAAATTTTTAGCATTAAAAAAATACTTGAGTTTGAAAACTTTCTCCAGACAGTCTGGGAGTGAAATTCTACTACATTTCTTTCATGATCATTTCTGTAAATCAGTGTCTTGCTCATAAACATTGCTTAAAAAAAAGAATGAATGCAATTTTTAATGAAAACTACATTTGATTTAAAGTAACTTCAAAAAGGTTTAAACTGGAAATAGCTACTCTCCAAAAATTGTTCTACCTTCACTGTGAGCGCTAGCCACAGCAGCAGGAAGTTTCTCCCGTAAGCCAGTGAACTAGTGAAAGAACATGAACAGAAAAGAACAGGTCTTTATTTTGTTGTGGTACTGGGCATTGAACCCCAGGCCTTCGTTAAGCTGTACCCCCACCTCAAACCTTTTTCTTTTTTGAGGCAGGGTCTTCCTAACACACTAACCGCCCAGACTGGGCTCCAGTGTGCGACCCTCTTGCTTCGAGGTGACAGGCGTGCGTCACCGTGTCCGGCCGGGAAGAGCCTTTTACCGTCACTTAGAGAAATGTGTTTAAATCCATTCATTTTTGGAGTTGAAACAAAGTGTGTTTTGTGATGCAGCTATTCAGTTTTATATTATAAAAATACTATCTTTATAATAGGAAGCACCTTCAATCCTAGCTCTGCTTCTCATGAGATCTGGGCCACCGCGCCTGACCCCGCCAAGCACACCCCCATCAAATGTGGTAACGTCTACCTCTAGAGTCTTTGGTTATATACATCGAATAAAGCTAATCTTACCCGACGTCTGACACATACCAGACGCCAAGTATGGTCCCCATTATTTTTGTTTTTTGTTCCGGGAATCTAACTCACAACCTCCTGCTTGCCAGGCAGGCGCTGTGCCGCTGAGCTACACCTCCCATCAGTATTATTTTTGGTTTTTTTGTGCCAGGGTCACACTGTCCTAGAACTCACTATGTGCTCGGGCTGGCTTCCAGCTCGCTGCGATCTTCCTGGCTCAGCATCCCCAGTGCTGAGATTACAGGCTGCGCTGGTGTGCGGGATGACTAGCAAACAGGACAGACACAGGGCTGAGAATTCACAGCCTTAATCTTGTTTGTTTGTTTGTCTGTCTTTTTGAAACGGTGTCGCTACGCAGTTCAGGCTGGCCTCGAGCTCATTTTGTAGCCCAGGGTAGCCTCGAACTCGCAGCGATCCTCCTGCCTCAGCCTCCCGAGTGCTGGGATTACAGGCGTGCGCCCCCACGCCCGGCTCCATAGCTTTAATCTTATTCAAAGACTGGTATTAGAAGCACTTTACAAGCCGGACTCTGAAGTGTTATTTTCGCCTCTCACGTCACCCAGGCTCAAAGGCGAGGACCTTCCGTCCGCCTCGCTTTGTCCGGGCTCCGCCGTGGGCTCTGAGCACACCGCGGCTTCGCGATCCCCACGCCAGGCCAAACACGGGCACGAAAGGCCGTTCAAGGCGTGTTTCAGTTCGGTGGAAGGGAATATTTTTTGTCCAGGACAGCGCCGGAAGTCCGCCAAAAAACGATCTCGTAAAATTAGAAAAAAAAAAAAAAAAAAACAAAAAAAAACAAAAAAAACCACCCAGGGCCTCCGGTTTGCGACGCCTGCCCCAAAGCGCGGCGCTCCTGCCGGATTCCGAGGCGCGCGGCGCGGCGGGGGGCGCGACAGGGGCGG